GGGAAAAATGAGGCGCTGATGCCAGGGGCTTAGGTGGAGAGCAAATGTTTTGAGAATGATGAGGGCAATGAATGTACAAATGTGCTTTACGCAATCGTTGTATGTGTGGATTGTGATAAGAGTTGTATGAGCCCCTAATAAAATGATAAAAACAAAACAGAAGTAGGTATCTAGATAATAATGGTGGGATAGTTTATGAATTACAGACTTGGAAGCACTTGTTTTGCCCTACAGTTTTACTATGGCTTATCCCTCATGCCCCTGATGCAGCAAAAGTATTCACTAGCTCAACGAGCATTTTAGAACAGCAGCTTTGTGATGAATGCTGTATTGTGTCAGAAGCTATTGGGTTGGTTGAACTAGAGGAAGAGATTGATCATAACTTTTGTCATTTTAAGGTGTGTATTTTTAAAGCTAATCTCTCCTGGAAAAGTTCACCCAATTCTTAAGTTAAAAATGAAAAATTTTTAACCTATTAATATCTCAGAAATGGCACATATTTTATAATCATTTCTACTATTAATGGTAGCATTTAAATTTTAAGAAAAGCTTTTAGTGGTGTTTCTTCCAATTAATGATGCTTCTTACACCTGATGGAGACTTACATTAATTAAAATATGATAAATACAAAATATGGCTGTTGTTGGCCAGATATTGTTCACTATCCTGTATTATGTTAGTTTTCTGTCTACATAACGCTTTTTTCATCTTGCTTTTCTCTTCTTGGCCTTAAATATGTGTTTACTCCAATTATGGTCATTTATTTTCCTTCATTCTTTAACCTTTCATATTTCTATCTTCAGTCCCAACTTATTTCCTGGGCTCTTATTTATAACTGGGACCTGAATATTTCTACTTTGCTGTTCTAATGTCATCTCAAACACAATACAACCCACTGTCTTCCCCTCCTAGCCAGCTTCTCCCCCAGGCTTCCCCGATCTATCGGTTCTCTTAGTAGTTCAGAATCAAAACTCTTGGAACCTCCTCTTTTCTTCCTTTTACTTTGTGTGTTAGTCTGGGTTGACTAGGAAAACAAATTCATAGACACTCTTATGTGAATAAGAAAGAGCTTTACATCAAAGAGTAATCGTATATTAAGAAAACATCCCAGTCCAAATCAAGTACATAAGTCCAATATATTAGCCCCTATCTCCAATACAAGACCATAAATTCTTCTTTAGATTCATGCAGCACATGCAATGATGCCGAAGCAGGAAGATCACAGGCCAGTGATGGATCCAGTGGCAGTGGAAGCATCTCAGCCCTGGTGCTGGTCTCCAGGTGGCTCCTGCAGCTCCTGGGCTCTGGCTGTCATCAGAGTGGCTCCATATGGCTTGTCAATAGGAAGGTCAAGCAGAGAGAGTGAGCCTCCTCCCAGGAGAAAAAGAGGAAGTTCCCAAAATCCTCCTGGTGGGTGTTACCTTGTGACCTGATTGACAAGCTAAAGGCCACCCCTCCACTCAAGTTGACAGGAGATTATGTAACTGCCACACTTTGTATCACATCTTCCCCCATATTGCATGTTACCAAGATTATTATTCTAAGATTCCTTTCCAGTTCCACTATTACCAAGCCCTTGTCTAATTACACCTGGAGTAATCCAGAGATTTCTCCCTCTCCCTCCAGTTTTTTTCCATTGTTATTACTTTAAATTTCCCCTAGTATTGTACCGCACACTTGACTTCCTGTAAAAAGAATTTAACAGCCTATCACTGATACCTAAAAGTTTTAAAGCAGCACAGCCTCCTGTCCAGGCTCTCCCGAATCATTCTTCTCCAGCTTCATCATCCACCATCTAACCTGGAGGAAACTATTCTGCATGTTTTAACTTTCTCAGGTTTGGCCTTTACATTGTTGAGAGATCTCTACTCCCATCGGTTGGCTTATTAAGAGTTTAGTTTACAGTGACCCTTTGCTCCAATTGCTATAGCACCTCATGTACTTATCCTTCTAAGCATGAAAATATCTAATGAGAATTAAAAGATTTGAGGGCAAAGGCTACATCTCTCCATATTTCCAGGGCTGATAGTCTTTTAATTTTTATTTTTTGAACTGTGTATCATAGTTTGGGTGAATGTTTACAGAACAAATTAGTTTTCCATTCAACAATTTATATACATTTTATTTCATGACATTGGTTACATTTCCCTCAATGTAACAGCACTCTTTCTTCCCACTTCCTCTCTGGATTTCCCATGTCCATTTGTCCTTCTTTCCTGTCCCTTCCTGCTTTCTGAGCTCTGCCTTTGGGCAGTATTGCCCTTCTGCGGTTGATGTACTGAGGAGTACATTGTTCCCCAGCCTTACTGTTTGAATGATAAGCTTGTCTATTGCTTGGCTGAAAGTCGATGCCCAGGGACGGGCTCAATTCTAGGTTTGCAGGGTGTCTAAGGGCCACAATCTTGGGGGTTCCATCAGCCTCTACCAGACAACTACGTCTGGTTTTTTATATGATTTTGAATTTTGTCTGACATTTTTCTCTCTGTTGTGATCACAATTAGAGCAGTCAGTCAGTAGTGGTAGTTGAGCACCATATATTTCCCCTGGGATTAGGATCCTGGGGAATGTGGTTTGCATGGTCTGTTAGTGTTTTGGATTAATTATTTTCTTTGATCTTTGATTTTCATCACTCTTATTTGCTTTGGCCACGGAGGGACCAATAGTTGCATCTTTGATGGCTGTTGGCTAATGTGTAAGACCCGAGTTGCTACCCACCAGATTAGCATGTCGGACATTGTTGTTGCAGATGTTTAGATGTTTCCTGAGGCTCTGGACCTAAGTCCTCAAGCCCAGTGACTCATTCCCTCAAGGTGTATGGTGTTGGCAACTTTGAAAGCCTCAAAGTCTTTTAAATAGAGCTTTAGCTTTGGAAATTAACCTCACCTACAAATTCATTTCACAGATGAGGAAACAAGCTCAGAGAAAAGTTAAGATATTCTTGGTATAAAGCCCAGCATTTGTTGATAGTTATAGTTTGTATATAAAAGGATTGGCTTATGCAGACAGATTTCGAGAAGGTGAAAGAAGGACATTTTCTAACAAAGGTGGGACGCTGGGGCAAGTTTCCTGGAAGGGAACTTGTAGACAATAGGAGCCCTGTCGAGGGTAGCTCTTGCTTTAATTTTACGTATCTTGAAAACAGTTGGTTGCTCACTGTTTGATTGTGGAATAAAATCTCTGCAGCAGGTAGCTCGAAGACCGTCAAGTAGGTTGGCTTTGGGGCCCAGGGGAAGAGCTACTACTGTCCAGTGGTGACAACTAGCCTCGGGCTTTCCACCGTAAGAAGTGAGCCAGGGCACGCCCCTGGCTGGAATCTGTGGACCAAGCAGCCGCGGAGGCCTTGGCCGGGTCCCAGGAAAGAAGAGTAAGGGGCTTTCCACCTGGCCCCAGCCTAACCCGGCATTGGAAGCCCAGTGGATTCCAGCCTCAACTAGCAGGCCCTCCCCGGAGCCCAGTCCCTCGCCCCGCCCCCGGCCCCGCCCCCTACGCTCTGCGGACTCGCTCCCGCGTCAGGCGCGCGAGCGCGTGAGCGCGGGGAGGCGGGAGGCCAGACGGGCGCTCCTCCGCGGGGACGAGCGCGCAGGCGCCCTCTGGGAAGTTGCTGCAGACCCGAATCCCAAGCGCCGGCGGGCGGCGGGGTAAGAGGCCGGGAGCTGTGGGGTTCTGGCGCTCCGGGCCGTGCTGGGGAGACTGGAGGCTCGCGACGCCTAGAGGCTGCTTGTTGCCGCGTCTCGAGGCGGTTCGGTGGAGGCCACTGGGCTCTTCCTTCCGCCCCACAGAGGGCACGGACGCGGGGCCTCCTCAGCGCCGCCTGCGAAAGTGGAGCGGAGCCAGGGCGCGGGGCTGTTGGAGGGGCCCCCGAGGCGCGAGCGTCCCTGGTGCCCGTCGCGGGTCTCCGGAGCCGGGCAGGAGAAATGTCAGGGCAGGGTCTCCCTTGCCCGTGGCGCTGCTCGGGATAGACGGAACCTCGGGACCGAAAGGAGCAGATTACGTTACAAAGAGCGGGCAGGGCGCGCTTTGTCGAAAGGCCCGCGGTGGCGGCGTCGACTCCCTGAATGGTGACGTGTTGCACTGTTAACCAAACCCTGGGCTAGCTGTTGCGGGAGCACCTGTAAAAATTCCCAAGCCAAGCTCACTGCCACGTAGTGGGTTGCGACCCACACCAACCCTACAGAACAGAGCAGAACTGCTCCCGGGGTTTCCGAGATGTAAATCTTTATCGGAGTACAACGCCTCTAATTTTTCTTGCGGAGCAGTCGGTGGTTTCGAACTGTTGACCTTCTGATTAGTAACCTTGGAAACGGTACTAGGCAGTTCTCTTCTGTCTGGTAAGGTCACCCTGAGTCAGAACAGCCCTGATGGCAACGGGTTTGGTTCTGGTTCCGGAGCGACGCTGCGCTGCCATCAGCTTGGCAACTCCGTGGAGTGTGATAGGTTAGGAAGTAACTCTGCAGGTGGGAAACATAACCAGCCCTTTGAACTTTTAAGAAGACCAACGTAAAGATTCTCACACAGTATTTTTAACCTTACAATAAAGTTAGGTAACCGCTCCTTTCCACAGGAGGCGCTCTGTTTGGCAAATACTGCATAGCTACTTGATTTCTGAATGCTGGGAACATGCCCCTCACCAAATCCGATTTGATTCTAACTGGTAGTAATGCTATAGGACAAAGTAAAACTGCCCTATTGGGTAATGCTTAACAGGAGCCACATCTTTTTACTGTGGAGAGGTTGGTAGATTCTTTACCTACTGTGCCACCAGGGTGTCCTGTGTCCCCACAGCACTCAATAAACCAAGAGGATCCTCTGCTTGCAAGGAGCTTATATTCTTATTTACCAATGTGATTTTCGGTCTATTAAAAAAATCCCTTTTTAATAGAAATTTGCAATGTACAGATGAATAAAATTCCTTTCATGCCTTCTTGATTGAAATATACTCATAGGTACAGTTGTGACTGGGTGGCACAAATGGTTAGGCACTGGACTACCAATGGAAAGACTAGCTGTTCAAACACGCCACGAGGATTCTTGGAAATGAGGCCCGGAGATCTGCTTCTGAAAGCCACAGCCTTAAACTAAGCCCCATGGAGTTCTACTCTGCATACCTGGGGTCATCGCAAGTCATAACTGACAGCATCTAATGATAACAACTTGCCACAAATTAAACGCCTCTTTTAACCACCACTCAGATCAAAAGAGAGACAGACCATCCCCAGCAGCTCAGATCATCCTTGGGAGCTTCCCAATTACTATCTAATTTTTCTCCAGAGGCAAACTTTTGCTAACACCATAGATCAATTTGGACTATTTCTGAGACTTTCATAAATGGAACAATATGGTATATATTCTTTGGTGTTTAGCTTTTTGCTCAAATTTATACTTTTGTGATTGTTCACTGTTGTTTGAAAACATAATTTATTGGGCAGTGGGACAGAGGAAAGCTTTAGGGAGGGGTAGTTCTCAATGAGTTTTCTGAGGGGATGACTTGAGATGCAGCATGAGTACCAAAGAGGTTAGAGAAGGGAAGAGTTGGGTTAAGAACATCCTGAGCAGAAGGAATGCAAGGGTGTGAATGAACTTGACAGGTTTCAGGAAAAGAGAAGAGAGACATCCCTGTAGGAAAGTAGAGGAATTGAAGTTGGAAAGAAGTCAGATCACTGTGGGTTTTATGCCCTGGGTATTTAGATTGGACTCTAAGTGTAATAGCTGTTAGGAAGAAAGGAAGGTCTATATATTAATATATATACTCACCAAAGAATATAGTCTTAAAAAGGGGCAACATTCTTGGGTGAAACATTACCATTTGGGAAAGCCTCTTCTGTATTGTGAGGATTTATATTAAATCAGTTACAATTCGCTACCAAAAAGAAGATTTAGAAGGTACTTTATAAATTAGACCTCGATTCTGTTAGGCGCTAGTCACTTCCAACTCACAGTGGCCCTGTGTGACAGAGTGAACCTGCCCATGTGTCTTTTTCTAAGCTGGAATCTTTACAGTAGTAGCTTCCTAAGTTTTCCTCCCGTGGAGCTGCTGGCTGGCTTTTAGCTGACATCCTTTCAATTAGCAGGCCAATGCTTAACTGTTGTGCCACCAGGGACAATGCAGTTAATTTCTGGTTGGGGCTCATAAAGAGAAACTTGGTTCTTTCAGAGGAGGCTCAATGAACTTTTGGACAGCTGTAATTATTAAAATACTTTCCTAATATATAATTGAAATACATTCAAGTTACTTTCAGTTATCTTTACCTCCCATTCAGTACTCATGCCTTCTGTTGTTTGTTTTTAATTTCAGTACAGGACTTTGAAATGATCTGTCATGATTTCTGGAGTTAGATTTGGTCCATCCATAGATGCTGTCCAAATCTTTTGTATTCACTCATCTGTCATTGTGTTGTTAACAAGCTTGATCAAAATGGTATCAATTAAAAATTGTATGTTCACTCCAAATTCATTATGAATATTGTTATTTGGAACATAATTTTTGTTGTTTAAAATTCCTGTGGAAAATATTTTGGCACAGTAAGTGTTGGACTGCTAACCTCAAGGTAGGCAGTTCAAATCCACCAGCTGCTCCACAAGAAAAAGATGCCCCCATAAAGAGTTACAGCCTCAGAACTCTCATACAACCTTTCTACTTTGTCTTACAGCAGGGGTGCTCACACTTTTTCAGCATGCGAGCTACTTATAAAATGATCAAGTCAAAATGATCTACCAACTACAAAAATGCAAAACATATTTTATTTATTTATTACATTTATTCATAAATGCATGGAGAATTCTTTATATGTACAATGTATGTTTATGTACCTTGCATAACTGCATGAGTCCACGTTGCACAACACAACACAATTAACTATGTACGTTTTTTGTCATGACCTGAGTTTACTCTGATGACTTGCACTGAATGGAATGAGCCAGGGATGCATAGTCTGGACAGTAGTAGCTGCTGACAGCCCGCCTCAAGCACACTTCCAAATGATCATAGTCCTGGTGGAACGGTACTTGGACTTAATGATCTTTATGTGGAAAAAGGCCGACTCACATAAATAAGTAGAGCCGAATAATGCAGGCAAGGAGGTAGCACATTGTCTCATGTTTGGGTACTTTCCCTCTACGAGTAAGTTCCAGAACTGTTCATGTGCTCTGGACTTTAGCTGAATGTCGGCTGGTAGTGTCAAAATCTCCCGTTGCATATGAAAGTGATACGTTTCTGTCTTCTTACTTGGTCCAGCTCCCCCACTCATTTTAATACCCTTTCTTACATTTAAGAGAAAAAACAAGGTCTAAAAATTGGCGATAACTTATGTCAGTTTTGATGCACTCAGCGCAGTTGTTTGCGCATGCGGTTGACCCCCTAAGCTTGCATCTGATTGGCTGTGCTGTATATCAATTAAGTGATGTGATTGATGATAGGCTTACATCTATTTTTTAAATGCCATGCGATCTACTCACACTACATTTGTGGTCGGCTAATAGATCACGATCAAGATAAAATATTACTTCAGTTATGTACTTAAAAAGCAATGTATTATATTTTGTGTGGTTATTGACAATCTACACAGCAAAACATACATAAACCCAACAAGTTTTTACACTCTGAATTGTGCACACATTCCCACTCTCCTGTTCTGAGTTGTTCCTCCTTCATTGACATGAACTCACTGGTCCCCCTATGTCTCCTGTTTAATCTTTTGTTGATTAATAATTTATTTCTGAATATACTTAAAGTATATCCTGTGGTTAAAGCAGCCCGCTCTTTTTCAAAGAGACAAAATGTCATTTTGATTTTTTCTTTTAAACCCTCAACCTCATAAAACAAAACAAGAAACGTGGTTCATTATGTTTTGATGCTTTTCTATTTTTGTCTTACAATGTGGGGGCTATTCTTGTTGATTTTTCCAAGATTGCGATTCACCCTGGTATAAGGTGAATGTGATCAGCACAAGCATATTTTGGAAAATAGAGTTAACACCAAAGCTACAGAATAGTTAGTGGAAAACTTTCCCCAAACTAAACGTAGAAACACAAATGTTCTCTTTCTGTTGGTACCAAAAGGAAATCACCACTTTGTCCACCTTCACGGGCAATTTTTACCTGTCATTGATTTGGCTCATCTGCTAATTCTTGTATCAACCTATTTCTGTTGTTTGCTTCTCTTAGACATACACCTTCGTGGGAGCAAATTCTTACCGCCCAGGGCTTCTTAAACCATTCCCACTCACAACCCCTGTTCTAGAAATTTGAAATTCAGGCAATCACTGCTGGAAACACCTAGGATTCATTTGATTTTGAATTAACTTTTGGTCGTTGGGTGTCAAGTTTTTCGTGACCCTTACGTACAGTTACTTGATCCCATGTGGTCAACCCACAGTTTCTGAGTGTTGATTTAGACATACACTTTTCCCTGTTAATATGAGAGTAGAGTAGACCTATGGGATAGGGTTGCAGAAATGCTATAAAGTGAAGGAAACAAATTGCCACGAATTTATATGGAAAACATTTTCTGAGTGTCTTCAGGCCCCCAAAATAACCTACCAGATCATATCAAATAAACATAAAATATAAAATTTCCCTACCTAACCTTCAGGGCTCACATACGCAGTTCAAAGGTCTGGCGGTTTGCTGTGGTCTGAGTGAATGTAGTTCCAGGGGAAGGAGCTTGGTGGCGCCACTTTCACCCTTCAGGCTGTGCCTGGCCTCGTCGCTGGCTCCCTGTGAAACAGCTGAACACTGATTTCACTTTTCGCCTTTTTTTTTTTTTCGTAAAAGCAAAAAGCCACTTTAGATTTCTTTCGGTTAGTGAAAACAAATACTCGTGCAGGCCTTTCTTAAAAGTGAAGTGTTGGAAAGTGAAGTTCAGAAAAGATGGGGGTACTCGGCATCTAGTACCATTTAACTGGGAGACCACAGGTATTCACTGTGACAAATGTTAAAATGTTACCAGTGATAACATTTTCGAACGAGATAACTAGGGAATAAAGCACTTAACGTGATTCCCCCTCTTTTGCATTCTTTCGTTTTACGTTATAGAATTGTGCTAAACTAAATCCTTCTCTCTCCTCCCCGCTTCCCACCCCCATTTCAGGCTACTTCTTCATAGATTCAACCAACAATCTTTTGCTTCACAAAGAGCCACCACTTAGACTCTTCTCAAATTCGTGTTTCCACGGAAGTGATAACTTTTCTCTGATCAAGAAAAGACGTGACTGACTACATGTTGAAAGTATCCCAGCACCAATCCTATTTTTTTCTTTTCTAAATTTGAAGAGCAACAATGGAGAAGCTGCCCTTCATGACTATAGTGGTCTTAATAGGACTAACAGTACGGTGGACAGTTTCTCTTAATTCGTACTCAGGTAATATATTTTTACTGATTAAAAGATATCGATAAATATTCCTTTGGATAAAGTTGTTTCATGGGAGTAGAAAGCTGCTTCTTTCTCCACCGAGCAGCTTGTGACTTCAAACTGATGACCATGCAGTTAGCAGCCTAACGCTTAATCACTATGCCACCAGGGCATAGTTGGATAAAGTTATTTTATGTGTGTGTGGGTGAAGGGTTTAATAGGTTACAGTATTTTTGACTGGCACAAAGAAGAACTAATAATGTCAGTGCAAAGATGTATGGATAAGAATTACGTAGACACATGGACTTTGTGTTGTGAGGGAACAAAAATGTATTCTACCTGAGAAGATGCCAAATTGAGAAATACTTATACATTAGGCAGCGAGGGGAGACAACTGAGATCATCTTCATGGGGGAAGCAGAGTCCCAGGTGTTTTTTTTAAAAAACTTAGTGTTACAAACCTCCCAGGTGCTCTTAAGAAAGACCTGGTAGTCTGCTCCTGTAAAGATTGACATCCTTGGAAACCCAAAAGGGTGCAATGAGTTGGCAGTACTTTGTTTTTGTCTTTATGTTCCAGGTACGGTGTTGGCGCTAGGTGACTACCAGTGCTCTAGTAGGAACGTGGTCACATTAATCACAATGTACCAGTATGTGTGAAGTACGAACAGTATGGGGAAGCTATCTGGACGTGTTGGAGGAGGTTCTTCAGGGGAGGTGATGTTTGAAAGAGGAGTTGAGATTAGCTAGGCAAATGAAATGAGGGAAGGCATTTTATGATTGTTTTTTTTGTTTTTTAGCTTTGTATTATGGTTTGAGTGAAAGTTTATAGAGCAAATTGGTTTTCCACCTAACAATTAATACACGTCTTGTTTTGTGATATTGATTGTGATCCCCACAATGTAACAATACTCAGAGAAGGTATTTAGACATGAGGAGCATGCAGACACAGTGTCATGAGAAAGCATGGCTATTATAATTATATAGTACCCTATCCACTGCCATTGAGTTGATTCTGACACCTAGTGACGCTATAGTACAGAATAGAATTGCCCCTTTGGGTTTCTGAACTAGAAATTTGCTCTAGACTTTAAATCGGTCTTGTAGAGTGGCTGGTGGGTTTGAACTGATGACCTTGTGCTCAGAAGCCCAACATGTAACCCATGCTGCCACTAGGGCTCCCAGAGTAGCATAAAAAGACGAACACAAAGGGAGAGAGGGAACGTGCAGCTAGATATTTGGCTGGGTTTTTTTTTGTGTGTTTTTTTTAAAAATATGGAACGCTTAACAAATTTACGTCATCCTTGTGCAGGGGCCATGCTAATCTTCTCTGTATCATTTCAATTTTAGTATATGTGCTGCTGAAGCAAGCACTTGGATTTATAATTATTAACTAGGAAAACTGTTATTTGAACTTTTGAAAAAAGTATAATGTATGGTGGGGAAAAAGAATAAGAAAGAGGTTGAAAGTAAACAGACCATAAATTAGAAGACAATAATAGAAGGGCTGAGCTATTATTAGTATTTACCATATGCTAGACACAAAATATCCTTAATGTTCACCACAACATTTTAGATAGCAAATATTTCTCATTTACAAATGGGAAATGAGATGACTGGAATTGAATGAGACAGCTGGCAACTAGGATTAAAATTTTACTTAAAAATCAGTACTTTTATGACTCCACACTGCAGCCTCCATATAAGAGCCTGAACTAAGGTAAGATTGTAAAAATGAATTTGAGTAATTTTAAGGAAATAAAATATTTTGGAACATAAGTTCAAATCTTAGTTTCTCCCCTTGTTTATAGGGCATTAGTTAATCTCTCTGAGCGTCAGGAACCTCTTCTACAAAGTGGTGCTATTAGCATATATCCCAATAGCATAGTGTGAGGATTAATAGAGATAATGTCTGAATGATGTTTTGTTTTTAACATGAGGGTTACGGTACTTCAAAATGTTCATGGAAAAGTGGAATGAAAAAAAATGGGATTTTCCCATGAACTTTTTGAAGCCTCCTGTTGGTGTATGACTATAACCAACACATTTATGATTCATAGCTGTTATCTCATTTGATCTTCACATCAGATCATTTACCCTGAAAATATTTATGGAGTGCCTACTGTACCATGAGCACTCTTCTGGTCATTAGGGTGGTCAAGAATAATGGTATCTTTTCTTGAAAAGCTCACAGTCTAGTGAATAGGGTGGACATATAAATATATACTACATTAAAGTGAAATGTGTTATGAACAAAGCAGGGGCCCTAGTGACACATGGCTAAGAGCTCAGCTGCTAACCACCACAAGGTTGGCGGTTTGAATCCACCAGTGGCACTACAACAATGCTTCCTTAGTGATTACAACCTTGGAACCCCCAGGAGGGCAGCTCCACTCTTTGCAGGTCACTATGAGTTGGAATCGACTATGGCCAGGATATGAGTAGGAAAGACGGGGAGCACAGAGAAGACATTTAGTTCAGATGAAGACTTAAAGAATATAACCTTTAAGTGTGTTCTGAAAGGGAGAGAAGGTCTGTCCTAGGCAGATCAGGTGGGTGAGGAGAGTATTCCAGTAAAAGGGTCAGCTTGAGAGCCACAATTGAGTTTGAAGAGTCAACTGTAAAGATGAATTGTGTGAGGATAAAGAAAAGGGAAGAGTCTGAGGACGATCCTCATCTCCAGTGAAAGATACTGAGATGGGAAACCTAGACGTAGAACAGATTCACTGTGTGTGGGGTGTGTGTAATACATTCCATTAATTGGATGTGCTAAGATTTGAGAGCATTTTTGTCACATAAAAAGGGGTGTGTTTTGAGCGTTGGGAGTTTGGTGAGAGGGACGCCAGAACACATTAATCTATCTTTAGTTTGTCTCGGAGAGCACTTTCTTTGTAGAACTAGATTCCGGTGTCGTCATTCTGCAGTGCTGCTCTCTGGTGAGCTAGACTGTATCAAGTGCTGTACTGGATTTTTTCCTTGTGAAATTGTCACCAACACCTAACAATAACGAGGACCAAAGCAGGCAGGCTCCCTTACACCCGGCCCTCAGATAGAGCAAAACAAGTGGAAGTGATGGGCCAGAAAATATTTGCTGCCATTCCTAGAGCAGACTATCTAGGGCTCCTGTTTCAAGCCTGCCTGGCATTTCCCAAGTGTGAGGGTTCCTGTTGCTCCACATCCTTTGGAACATGTGGTAGTGTTGCTTTGGAATGTGGCACATGATACACAGTTTGAAGCCCCTGCAGATGCCCCACCCTCATCCCCAGTTCCTGTGATTATGATGAAATAGCAGATCCGTGAGAAGGTTACGGTTTATGACTCAGTTGATTTAAGACAGGGAGAGTGTGATGGACTATCCAGGTGGGCCCAGAGTAACCAAACAAGCGCTTGAAAGCAGAGAACTTTCTCCTGCTGATGGCGGAAGGGGAAATGAGAGGGTTTTCTTGAACAAAGACTAGGCCACATAAGAAGAAATGTAGCCACCTTTTGTTGTAGAAAAGCCCTGGATGAGATGGATTGATGGAATAAGCACACAGTGGAATCAAACATGCCAGTGATCATGGAGATGACACAGTGTTTTTTGTTTGTTTGTGTGTTTGTCTCCAACTGGACCGTGTTTTGTTCTGTCACTGGCTTCCATGAGTTGGAGCCTACTTAGGACAATGAACAACAGCAAATAAAACAGCAATGCACAAACATATCTTTTTTATTGATCCAATTCTCAGAGTTCATCGGAAAGCTCTGTTGGGTTCTATACTATTGATCAGTTTGGGGAAAAGCGGGCCATCATCATCATACCGAGGCTTTGAAGTTACTATGATGGGCTGCTTTTCCATTTATGAAAGTCTTCCTCCGTGTCTTCCAAGAAACAGAGGGGCTTCAAAACATTTGTGGAAAAATGGAATTTGAAGATAATGGAATTTCCTCATAAACTTTTTGAAGACCTTTGTATTTTGTAATATTCACATCCTTCCTATGAAATATTTCTTGGTATCATATTTTCCCCTCATAATTTTAAATGATTTATTTTTAAAAATTGCTTTTATAGATATTTGCCACTGTTGTGTTGAATATTTTATTTTACACAGTATTATTACCTTGTATTACAATGTCATGAAATTCAGTAGTTCAATCACATAAGAGCCATACAATCATGTCCACAATCAACCTCAGCACATTTACTTCCTTCTTGTACCCATTGTCATCACACCTCCACCTACCCTCAACCCTACCCCTCAAGAACCCATCAGTGCACCTACTGTCTCGATAGCTTTTCCTATCCTGGATTTCGTATACAGAAAATAGAAAACAAAATACAGAAAAGCAAGACAAGACACTGTATTCCGCATGATAGCAAGGCTGTTCACACCCTGGTCTGTGGTCAGAGGGGATTCACAGGAGGCTTAATTCATGTGCAGACTCTGCATGGATTTGGGGCTCCCATTGTCATCCATAGCCTTCCAAACCCAATTATTCACAATTTAAGCTCTGATCCCATTCCCTCCTTTGGTTTTGGATTTTCTCATTCACAATCCTTGGATAACACATGCTGATAGCTTCTTCCATGTGGGTCCAATTCATGCCTCATTCAAATGGCTGCTTGTTCAATGACAAGTCTTTAAGACTCCAGATGCTATTATTTCTAGTAGCCAGGCACCATGTAGTTTCTTTGCCACACTTTCCTATAGCACCCTTATCTTCAGTGATCTTTTCTCGAGTGTGAGCTTCAAGCAGGGCCATGTCTTAAGCATTAGTTGTTCTCTGTTTGGAACTAAAATTAATTGTGAGCCAAAATCCCATTCATATATCTATGATTTATATGCCTCTGGTTCATTTTAGAGACATCATTATCATATTGTGTTAGAGAATAGTATCTTCCTGGAGCATAAGGTAATTCTATTGATAGTGTGTTGTTGACTTTTTATGTTGTCTTTTATACTTGGCAAGTTTTCTAATCTTACTATTTTTAGTATAAATAATAATATTAGTATAAATAAGTAAATTTAGTATAA